ATATATCTTTTGTCTCTATCTTACCTCTATCTTACATATATCTTAATTTTGCCGAAACACTCCCGTACAAATTTCCAACATCGAACGCGCGTATAGAAGTATAACTTCAAAAAATGTTTGTGGAAGATAAAAATAAAAAAACAGCAACTCGGATTATGTTGTAAATTTTCATTTTATTTTAAAATTTAGCATTTTTGTGTATACTACATGTATTTAATAAGATTAACGTGGGGTTTTTAAATATTTCAAAAAAAAAGGAAACATTTATATTGGGATTTGAACTCACATATACCAGCATATGAACCAAACACGTAAAAAGTTTGCCAATTAGACATGGCACTAACGGATTTCAAAATTGACAGTTCTCGGTCATACAGTGATTTATTGTAATTGTTATTTTGAATAATACAAAACATATCACATAAATATTCATAAAAATATATATTATATATAATATATATTATATATATATATTATATATATATATATATATATATATATATATATATATATATATATAATATATATATATATATATATATATATATATATATATATAATATTACATATATTATAGGTTATTATATAACTTCAAAAATTGGACATGCAATGTCCAATGCAATTTTAGCCATTGAAGAATTAAAACAGATCGGCTAATCAAAAAAGGCATTAATGAATAAATAATGTTTTCGGGCATTTCGCAATTGCGGGCACTCTAACCTAACCAAATATATTTTCCTCAAGGCACTGCGTCACAGTGTTGCCATATTTATTTTAGTAAAATATGTATATGAATGCTACAAATATAAATTTACTTTTACGAAATAATAATTTGTGTTATGAGAAGCTACAAATTTTAAATAAGCATAAAACTTGCCATATTTTTTTTGTAAAATGTATATGAAGGTTTAAAATATAAGTTACTTTTACGAAATTATAATTTGTATTATGAGAAGCTACAAGATTTAAATATATTAAATAAATTTTTTATATCATTTTAATCAGTTGTATTGTATATGCATTTGATTATTATCTTTAATTTAACTAAAATCTTTGAATTTTTATATAATTTCAATGCATTTCTATTATATACGGTAATTTAATTATTACTATTAATTTTTTATATAATTTTAATAAATTTTATTGTATATGCATTTGATTATTATCTTTAATTTAACTAAAATCTATACTATTAATTTTTTATATATCACTTTAATCAACATTTGTATATTATGTGAGAGTATGAAAAAACTGGAGACTTGGCAACTCTGATACCATTTAAGCGAACGTTAAATGTCATATAAATGCTTGGTTAGGTTAGAGTGCCCGCAATTGCGAAATGCCCATGTTTTCTTTAATTGAGCCACGAATAAATAATAGAAATAAATGTTGTTAATATATTTTACTAAAAATTATTATTATGCTTTACCTGTTGCCTTCATTTCTTTTGAAATTTTTTCCCAACCAAGTTCTTGGACATTTCTGTTTGAATATTCCGGACTTCTGTTGTCATATATACCTTGAAATTTCTCAATTAATGAGACAAAACGAATATTTAATTCTGGACTGTCTTTTATATTTAAATTTTTCAACAAACACAAATGCAAAATGCAAGTAGTACGTGGCAAAAAGTAGAACAAATCTATGACGTGGCATAGCAAGCTGCATGACGCCACTGTCACTGTCATTTTGGTGTGCGGTGAATCATTCATTTTCATTGGTTACATTTGAAGTAAAATGCTAGACGCGTGCTACTTGCCACGTGCCACGCCAGTTGAGTGGGCGCTCTCATGGTTTCTTTAATCTAAGTGAGAGCGCCCACCAAACTGGCGTGGCAAGTGGCAGGTAGCAAGTAGCACGCGGCTAGCATGTTACAAAAATGTAATCAATGAAAACGAATAATTAGAATGAATGATGTCACTGTCATTTTGGTGTGCGCCGAATCACTCGTTTTCATTGGTTACATTTTAAATAACATGCTAGATGTGTGCTACTTGCTACCTGCCACTTGCCACGCCAGTTGAGTGGGCGCTCTCATGGTTTCTTTAATCTAAGTGAGAGCGCCCACCAAACTGGCGTGGCAAGTGGCAGGTAGCAAGTAGCACGCGGCTAGCATGTTACAAAAAATGTAACCAATGAAAACGAATAATTAGAATGAATGACGTCACTGTCATTTTGGTGTGCGCCGAATCACTCGTTTTCATTGGTTACATTTTAAATAACATGCTAGATGTGTGCTACTTGCTACCTGCCACTTGCCACGCCAGTTTGGTGGGCGCTCACCCTTAGGTTTCAACTGACTTTATAAATACTATACCTGTTATTCTTTCGTATATAAGAAAAAGTTTTTGTGGCAACAATACATAAAAGCCGGTCCGACAAATTACAGGGTTGCCGGCAATTCAATAAACTATAAACTTTCTTGTTCTATAAATTAATATAAAGTTGTGCGTTTTAAGAATATTTTATATGAACATTTATGTTTTATTGTTATAAAAGGGTGATTTGTTGGCAATTCCGCTACTTCTATTAATTTTTCTTCTATTCAGCACTTTTGCGATCTATTGGTTGCTGATACTTCGAGGTAAATATTTATTTTTATTACAAAATGTAGGAAGGTGAGGCTATAATTTTTAAAATATTTACTCCTAAATCATCGAACCAGCTACCTCATCCTTTAACTTACATATACTCTAAAACTGTGTATTATGTTTATTTCTTAATATATCTGACAAATTTTAACGTTGAATATTTGATGGCCCTCTTTGAAGTATAAAAGTATGGTCGACTTTTATCCCGCGTGGATGAACACCTGTATATCTTTACGAAGAGAGTTGTACATAAACCTATAGGTTGATCGTAATCCATATCTGCAAAGTATGTTGTTTACTTGGGTTAATATATACAGTGCATTCTATATATCTTGTAAACATGATTAGAGGAAATTGTTGCCTAATGGTCATCGAAGAATCGTCTATGACCAACATATATTCTTACCGGAGACCGGAAGTACAATAACAACTTTAAAAAAATAAATTACTTTTTCGCCGTATATTAAATATAGTATGCAACTCGTTACGATTCGATACTTCGATTCGATACTTCGATATACAGTGCACTCTTTATGTTTTTATAAACATGATGAAGGGAAATTGTTGCCTGATGGCTTTCTAAGAAGCGTTTATAACCAACAGTATATATTCTTATCGGAGACCGGAATTACAATAACAACAAAAATTTTAATTACTTGTTCGTTATAGATTAAATATAGTATGCAATTAGTTACGGTTAATTCTTAGCATTGAAACGTTACACGTTTAATATATGTCGAAAAGAAGTATGTTAATGAAATCGGATATACAGTGCACTCTTTATGTTTTGAAAACATGATCACATTCTTGTCTGATGGCTATCGAAGAACTGTCTGTGATCAACATATTATATTCTTACCGGAGAGCAGAAGTAGATACAATATCAAATTTAAAAATAAATTACTTGTTCGTCGTAGATAAAATACAGTATGCAGCTTGTTTCAGTTTCCATACGTGTGATAGTCTTAAATCCTCAAAAAAACCTAAAAATATGTCGCAAAAACAAAATAGGCTGGTAATGCAGATTCAGCGCTTACCGACAGTGACGTCACACTGCCTCGCTCAAGTGTCCTGTACTCTGCTAGGTAAAATACCAAATTTTACCGTTGACAGCAACCTTAAATGGATTCCCTTCATATCGATTTGTTAAGTAAGGAACTATCCTCAGCCTGCTATGCAATAGGATCTAGTACAGCTGCCCAATCTGATGTTATTTTTAAAAATAGCCATACGGTATCTGTGCGATCTCCGAAGAAAAAACACATTGCAGAAGCTACTTCAAAAATCACGATATTTTAGAAACTGTTTGCTTAATTCGTAAATATCTACATGTTTTTCCATCAACACATTAGGTATCATGACTATTCCACCAGAAATTCAACCTTTAAAGTTTATTTACCGATCCCATCCACTTAGTAAAGAAATCTATATTACATTCGGCAGAAAAACTCCCTTTACAACTTAAATCTGTAACACCTTTCCATGAGCTCTATAAAGACTATATTTTTCAATACCTTTATGTGCATTGTACAAGCAACAAGTAGTTTTGAAGTGAATACTTTTTATCGTTGGGACCGAAATCCTATTTAGCGTGACTCGAAAAATTGAGACAGGTGTGTTACTTTTGCGGTATACCATAATATACATAATAAATATTCCTATACACTTATATATAATATATATTATATATCTCACGATCGACTAAATCGGTTTGACCAACTTTTATATTAAAATATTTGTATGAAATAAGTTAATTAAATAAAATTAATTAAAATTAAATACAATTAAATAAAATTAAATAAAATTATAATTAAATATAAAAAGTCTAAAAAATTATAAAAATTATAAAAACTGAATAAACAATTATAAAAAATATAAAAACTATCAAAAATTATAAACCATTATAAAAAATCCTAAATAAATATAAAAAAAATTATAAAAAAAATACAAATAAATATAAAGAATTGTGAAAATTAAATACTAAATAAAATTGAATAAAAATAAATAGAATTAAATAAAAGTATATAAAATTAAATATATAGCCTCATTTCTATTGTTATGTTTTTACTTTGGGTTATGATATTTAATGAATGATCAGATTATAAATCATAAAGACTTTGGTTTAAAATATTTTTCGTTTATTCTTTTCACTACAGCAAAATCAAGAACATCTGGAATGTTCGCAGGGTCTGAAGGCCAGTATCTTGGCTTCCTTGTGGATGCTATCGTTAAGCTATCTATTAGTATTTCTTTTTGCAGTCGCGATCTTTGGTGTTTTTTTTAAGTCTAGAGCCGAACATTAGATGTTTTGAATTGTAGTCTTCGCCACAAATAAACCTAGGTTCAAGAGTATCAAAAAAGGTTTTAAATTCTGGTTGTTAAAGAATATACGTAAAGATAAATATATTACAAACTTTTATTACTTTTTTTATTTCGTAATCCAATTTATGATATCTCTATTTTCATATGTAGCAACATAAATTGATCTAAAATTCATGTATTTACTAATCCGCAATTACTGATAATAATATCAACGTATGGTTTTCCTATTTTACGCCCATAGTCTTGAACTTTCAGTAAATTCGCATATCCCTTAATGATCTTTCCAAATACCACATTTTTATGATCCATTTGCTCCATTTTTGCAAAAGTTATGATAAATTGGGAATTATTATCCGTGGGAGGTAATCGTTTCATAGAGAGCACACCTGAAATAAAAGTAGATATTTATAGTAGACAATATTTTGTATTTAAAGCTCATATATTGTTTGATAAAAAGTATAAAACTCTCTAGATAGCAGAACTTGCAGATTGGAGTATAATCGCGAAATTTTTCAAGATTATGAAAAATTAATAATAAACATAAAAGAAAAAAATTATACCAAAATACTTGTAATCCAAGTACAAATTAATTTTTTAATATATACGGGCATTCATAGTGTTTATCTACAAAATAAGTCACATCAAGCCTAAATACGCCATATCGCTAAAGGTAGATCATATGTTAGATATATGGTAGACCACTGTTGTGTTTTTGTTAATGAAAAGCTAAATGTCATAAGTATCTTGAATGAAGTATATACAGATATTGTCTGCATATTGAATACTCTTGATGGGATTAGAGAAAAGTTATCCTGAGGCAACCCATGATAAACAATTCTTGGTCGTGCAATACAGTTCTATGGCGGTATGACCCATCAAAAATATAATACCGTACTAGGTAACAAAAACAGGATAATGTCCATTATTGATGGACATATATACAAAAAAATCTGAACATATTATACAAAAAATTGTTTCGTAACAACGGACATCCTAAACAAATTAAAAAAAAACTGATTTCCAGCAGTAATTTCTATAACGGTCCCATCTATGATTCTAACAACAAATCAATCAAATATAAAAATATATATATATATATATATATATATATATATATATATATATATATTCAAAACTGTTCCTAATATTAGTATAGCTAAATATAATACCATGAACAGCAAACAACTATTTTCAAAAATCAAAGCCCCGTACCAACCTTATAAAAAAGTAATGTTGTTTATGAAATACCGTGTCTAGGATGTCAAATAGCTACATTGGATAAACATCAGAATGGCCAAAATAACGCATCACCCAACATAAAAGTGATTGCTGCTTGGGAAAAAATACTTGCTCAGTAGTTGAGCACTATGAAAATACCGGTCATATGCTAGGCTATAACAAAGCTCACGTTTTGTCACAGGCTGATAACGACAAAAGTAGATTATTTCTTGAAATGTATCACATTCAAAAAATAAATACACTTTAAACTATAAATCGGACACTGGACAGTTAAGCAACATATATTGTAATATATTAAACAAAATTTATAAATATTCAAATAGCTAACATTCACCTTAATAACAACTAACCTTAATAATTCATCAAAGAAATATCATATCATTCTTCTAATGTTTTTTTTGATTTGTGAAATATTTTAATTTCTGTACGTATTCTTTAAAATTTAATTGAAATTGTTTTAGTTTACTCCTGATGATGCTAAAAAATAAATAGCGAAATATTTTTTAGAGTAATTTAGCGAAATAAGTTTTTAGAAAAAACAAAAGATTTTTATATGGATTACTTTACCTGTTAATTTCCTATTACGAATTAAGCCTTTAAAATATTAAGATTTAAGCCAAATCACGTCCATGAGCCAAATTGCTTTAACAAAATGTAGATGTTAAGAAGGATACGGGGTATTAAACGGGAAATTTAAAATTTTAATTTTTGCTATAACTTTCATGTTTCTGAACATTTATGTATCAAAATTCATAATTGGGTACTATTGAACACCAGGAATTATACTTTGATGCATACTGTTACGATTTTAAATGTTATGGCGTATAGAACTGTAAATATTTTATGACTAATTCTTTTTATTGATTCTCGTAATTTGTAGGTCAAAATATACCTGAGCTTAGCTACCAGTTGTTTACCAGAAATCTCTAGACACTAACACTAATGAGTCATCCACGTCTCGAGGTTGAAAAACGAGTCGAGCGCCTTCACCAAAATACGAGATTATTCAAGAAGTCCGCCGAATTCTCTGGATGACAACAGTTGTGTATATAAATGAAAGATTTTTATTTGGCAGTCAGTCATAAGAAGCTCGGCGACCGCGATATTTAAATGTAACGAAACATAAATTATTATTTGTAATATAAATTAGAATTAATAAAGACTTTAATAAATTCGTAATTAGTTATCGTGAGTTTTAATAAATTAGATTATAGACAATAAATTAGAATAAAGACAAATAAAATAGAACTATATAAAGTTCACAGTGGTGTCAGAAAAAGTGGGATCGTAGATAAATTTAATTTGATTTTTGAAAAAGACTTTTGAACTTTTGAAAAGTATTGTTCGTCGGGAACATCCGCGTAGTTCGGTAGTGACCTTTGTACAAAAGAACATTTATAAAAGTACGTGTGTGCCTGACCAAAGATGCTGCTAGTACAACTCTCGGTAAAACAGTTGCGTGAGCAATTAGAAGAACGCGATGAAGACTGCAGCGGGTCCAAGAAGATCCTCCAGGAGCGACTGAAGAATATTCTTAACAAGAATGGAGATGACCCAGAGACATTCCAGTTTCAATCATCAGAAGAAACAGTTTTAACAAAAATAAATGAGAAATTTGAAAATGTCTCGCAAATGATTGAAGAATCTTCTAAAAACACTGATGGAAAATTCGAGACTGTTTCCAAAAGATTCGATGAAACGTCTCAAATGATCGAAGAAACTTCTCAAATTATTAAAGAAACAGCTAGACAAAATGACGAGAAATTTGAAAATGTTGCTAGAAGATTCGACGAGACTTCTCAAATAATTAAAGAAATATGTATTCAGAATAGTGAGAAGTTTGAAGAAGTCTCTAAAACATTTGATAAAGTTGAAGAGAAAATCAAACAGTTAGAGACCATGATAACTAACACGAGAGTGCTACCACCAATTAATACGGTAGCTTTAGATCCGGTAGAGATAAAAGAAGACGAGACGAAATGTAAGTTGGAAACACGGCCAAAATTTGAAGGAAGTGGAAGTTCCGTTCATGTCAAAGTCCCAACTTTCGACGGAAAATCATCATGGAACAACTACATGAAACAGTTCGAGTCAGCTGCAAGAGCGAATGGATGGTCTGAAAAAGAAAAGGCTGTAAACCTGACTATCGCTCTTCGAGGAGATGCCTTAGATGTGCTCCAGACCATAGCCGTAGAGGAGACGGATGATTTCGAACAACTGAAGAAGAGGTTAAATATGCGATATGGCCACGAACACTTGGAGCATGTATATCAGTCGCAGCTCAAAAATCGAAGACAAAAGAAAGATGAGGCTCTTCAAGAATATGAAGTAGATATCGCCAGATTAGTGCGATATGCTTATCCAACAGCTCCCGAAGACATGATGGAAAAGTTGGCCGTTCAAACGTTTATTGATGGTCTTCGTGATCATGAGATGCAAAGAACACTACGATTAGCTCGTCACAAGACGCTGGTTGATGTCTTATCCGCCGCCCTCGAATACGAGTCAGCTACGCAGGCCTCTGGCGGTTACAGTAAAGTTAGGACTGTAAAAGAGGAAGAAGATGAAGATAAACTGGACCAGCTCGTTAATATGATGAAAAGCATGACATACAAGAAGACGAAGACCATAAGATGCTGGAATTGTGGCGAAATAGGACACGTACGAAGTTCATGTAAGCATCCTAGGTACGACACAAATCAAGAAACTCACCATCAGGAAAACTAGAACGGGTCGGCCTTAGGGGGGCAGCTTCGACCCAGAACTTTTCCAAAGACCCTCTCATACTAATAGCTTCTTTGAAATGTCGTGAAGATAGTGTATATGTAGATGGAGAAATAAATGGTAAAAAGCATACGTTGTTGGTGGATACCGGAGCGACAAGAACCATTATTCGCCCGACAGTTATAAACAGCCAAAAAAAACTGTTACCAACGAGGTTGCGACTTCGGACCGCCACAGGTGAAAATGCCAACATTCATGGAGAAATCCAGGTACAATTAGGAATTGGAGCAGAAAAGTTCGTCCATACTGTTATAGTTGCTGACATCGAAGAGGATGTTATATTAGGAATGGACGTAATGAATACGCATGGATTCCAATTGGATTTTAAGAATAAGGTAATCAAAGTTGGTAACGAGGAGGTATTTCTCCATCCACATGATGACAACACTATGCAAGCAGCCGTTAAAGAAGATACAGTCGTGCCTGCGAGAAGCGAAACGATAATAGTAGCGCGGCTACAGGGAATTGTGGACGAAGGAACACCTGTTATGATGGAGCCTTGGAATCATGACGACGAAGTTGGCCGTGGAATCATAATTGGAAAAGAATTAGTGACTTCGGCTAAAGAAATTCCTGTGAGACTTATTAATGTCAATGACTACCCAGTGACCATCAAGAAAGAGACAAAAGTAGGAACTTGTGTACCTGTCACATCCATAATCCGTCAGACAACAACGTCTGATAATTCCAACGATAAATTTGATCAAATGGTTGCGGTTGCTGGACAGTCTCTGAATCAGATTGAGAAAAGGAAATTAAGGGAATTTCTTCGGCAGTATCGTGATATTTTCGTACCGAAAGGAGGAAAGACGGGAAGAACTACCGTTGTTAAGCATAAAATTGATACTGGTAATGCTAAGCCAATTCGTCAAACAGCTCGACGATTACCACAGGCGAAAAGAGAGGAAGCTGAAACGATTGTTCAGGAAATGAAGAAAGACGGGGTGATAGAACCTTCTACGAGCCCATGGGTCTCTCCGGTGGTCCTGGTTAAGAAGAAAGACGGAACAACGAGGTTCTGTGTGGATTACCGTTTGTTGAACAACGTTACCAAGAAAGATAGTTATCCTCTGCCTCGGATCGATGACACATTAGACACATTGGCTGGAAGTAAATTATTTTCTACTTTGGACTTGAAGTCTGGATACTGGCAGGTAGAAATGGACCCGGTAGATAAAGAAAAGACAGCCTTCACCACAGGATCTGGATTATGGCAATTCAACGTTATGCCATTTGGACTTTGTAACGCTCCTGCGACATTTGAGAGGCTTATGGAAAATGTGTTGAGAGGGTTATCTTGGAAAACATGCCTAGTTTATCTAGACGACATAATCGTCTTGGGGAAGACATTTGAAGACCATCT